ATGTACAGACGATGTTATGATGTACAGACGATGTTATGTACAGACGATGTTATGTACAGACGATGTTATGTACAGACGATGTTATGATGTACAGACGATGTTATGATGTACAGACGATGTTATGTACAGACGATGTTATGCTGATGTCACCCCCCTCCCCCAGGGACCCCCGGTGGGGGCGGTGTGGGGGAGGAGCGCGCGCGCCCCATGTCCTGGGAGGGCGCCCTGGCACACAACTCTCAGGTGGGTCAATTTGACCCACTAATTTATTCACCCGTGTGGGATGATTTAACCTGCTGTCTTGTTTTGTTTAAAAGAATTTCTTAAATAAGTCCATTTATATATAGTCTGCCGAGGCGAATTTCTTGAATTTTATTTATTAATGGTATAGATATTTATGAATATAGGTATATACCATAAATATTGAAACATTATATTTCAATTATATTTATATATTATATTTATGGTAATTTTTCGAGAATTCCCCCGCGTTTCGTTCACTGAGAAGACAAAACAAAAAATTATTTCACAGCGCCAGCCTCCAGAAATGTCTGCACTCATAAAAATCGAATAAATTTCGTCCAACTAGCGATGCACTTCCTGCCATTTTATGCCTCATCCTGACACAGTTTTACCAAACATAAGAACGTATCATTATTCATTACAGCCCGGCACTAAAGTGTGTCACTATTTATGGGCCAATATTACCCATGAATTTTTCTTCACTATTTATGGGCCAATATTACCCATGAATTTTTCTTCACTATTTATGGGCCAATATTACCCATGAATTTTTCTTCACTATTTATGGGCCAATATTACCCATGAATTTTTCTTCACTATTTATGGGCCAAAATTGTACCCATTAATTTTTCTTCACTATTTATGGGCCAATTTTACCCATGAATTTTTCTTCCCTATTAATGGGCCAATATTGTTTTCTTCACTATTTATGGGTCAATATTGTTTTCTTCACTATTTATGGGTCAATATCACCCATGAATTTTCCTGGGTATATGTGCGTGCGGCGGCATGCAGGCACTCAGTGTCGAGCTGGCGGGCGCGGGGGGAGGTTGTGCGCCGCGTCGCTCCTTGTCTACATAAAAAACCGCGCGTTGTACCTCAATTGTGCTACACTAATAACACAAGTGGTTAATAACAACAACCTGGTTAACTGTTATTGTTGATAGTGCTGTTATTGAGGGTTGTTATTGTGCACAACTGCAGCCATGTGACGAGTTCTTAGAAACTGACGCAACGGTTACGAGGAGGACGTGTTATGGTGCCGTTATTGTTGCTGTTATGGTGCCGTTATTGTTGCTGTTATGGTGCCGTTATTGTTGCTGTTATGGTGCCGTTATTGTTGCTGTTATGGTGCCGTTATTGTTGCTGTTATGGTGCCGTTATTGTTGCTGTTATGGTGCCGTTATTGTTGCTGTTATGGTGCCGTTATTGTTGCTGTTATGGTGCCGTTATTGTTGCTGTTATGGTGCCGTTATTGTTGCTGTTATGGTGCCGTTATTGTTGCTGTTATGGTGCCGTTATTGTTGCTGTTATGGTGCCGTTATTGTTGCTGTTANTCCTCCCCCCCCCAACTTTTAGGCAACATTTATAATCAATATAAATTATAAATAAATGGTTATAATTAAAATAGTTTAGAATAGAATTATCAACAAATCAAGGCACCAATAATTAAGGGGAGCGTCTTGGTCCAAAATCGACAATTTCGGCTTTTCCTGTTTTTAGTCTCATCTTAAAGCTGACATTCTGACCTATCCAACGGTACCGTTACCATTTCTGTACGTTGATTTATGCGTGTTACCATTTCTGTACGTTGATTTATGCGTGTTACCATCTCTGTACGTTGATTTATGCGTTCACGACAGATCCCGAAAGGGAGGGGGGTGGGGGAATTCTTTCACATCTAACATAGGGAATAATTCCCGCAGTGCACTATATATAGCTAGTCTATACAGACACTCAGCTCCAGTAACCTTGCGGCAGTCGTACGGGGTGGTTCTCGCGCCGTCACTCGTACCATCCTTGACAGAAATTGAGCTCCAGTATCGTCTAGAGTTTTGAAGCTACATCAATGAGAGATATACCATTCGGTTTGCAAAGAAAAGATCTACAAATTGTTATAGGCGTTTTTATAATTTCGTTATAGTTTGTTTTTTATTTTGCAAAAAGGGGGGTGGAATGGGGTAAAATCGAAAAATTTCTGAAAAATTTACGAAAAATGCTCCCACACCCACAAAAATTGGAAATCAATTTGTAGATAAAAAAATCGCAGATAAAATCAGAGATAAAATAAAATAAATGGAGATAAAATCAAAATCAATTTGTAGATATGGTCTTTACGCATCGAATATGTGTCTCGATGTTGTAGCTTGAAAATCCTAGGCCCGCGGAGATTTCTACAGTACCCCCTTTTTTGGCCGTTTTCCAAGAATTTCTCGTTTTCTTTCATTTTTTTCGAAAAATTCACATGAACAAAAAAGTCTTAGAATTGCGTTTTACATCCGTGTATTAAATTTCGAAGTGATCCGTCCGTAAATAAAATGTTTTTTTCGGACCAAGACGCTCCCCTTAACCAAAAATCCTTAACTAAGGATATCTAACTAACTTAACTATATATCCTTAATTTTAGTGTTAACTCCATTGATATTAATTCAGGGTTGGATTAATTAGGTCAATTATGTTGATTAGGCTATTAAGTAATAATAATACGAATCTTAAATAATAAAAGTTCATTATTTAAATTCTTTTTTTTTTGTATTTTCAATTTATTAATAATCTTTTATCAATGAAAATTGAATTTATTCCCTTAATTTTATTATTATTTTTTACTTTTCATCATTTTTAATTTTTTACATTACTTAATTTCATTTTTACTAATAATTAATAATTTAATTTTTAATAATTTTTACTTTAATAAAAATTTAAAAAAATAATTTTATTTTTATTTTTTATTAATTATTATTTTTTATCTAAATTTAATTGAATAGGTAATAATTAACCCCCCTCCCCCCAGAGCCCCATCCAGCAGCGGCACATCAACTCTGTGTCTGTCTCTTATACACATCTAGATGTGTATAAGAGACAGCTTATATACTGCCCGCCTAGTTGGCAACCCCTGGCCAGTGCTGCCTTATATACTGCCCGCCTAGTTGGCAACCCCTGGCCAGTGCTGCCTTATATACTGCCCGCCTAGTTGGCAACCCCTGGCCTGTGCTGCCTTATATACTGCCCGCCTAGTTGGCAACCCCTGGCCAGTGCTGCCTTATATACTGCCCGCCTAGTTGGCAA